GCTGGGGTGGTGAGCGGGTAAGCGCCGGCTGCTGCCCGTCCGCGTCTCAGCCCGCCGCGGCTGACCGGACCAAGACCGCAATCCTCAGCCGGTGTCGCTTCATGAGTCCCACCGCGACGCCCTGCGGGTGTCGCTTACTGTCTTTCGGGGGTCTCCTAATCTCCGATAAGTTGGCTCTAACACTGATTTCCGATTGACATTTGGCCTGACTTCATTCCCTTAAGCTGGCGAAACATTTCTTGGACGTGGAGTCTCATGCTGCAGTGCGCAGTTGCACTGACCAGCGAGCCCATCGCCTTGGCCCAGGTACGGGCCATCCCTTCTCATCTTTTTGCTCGCAGGGGCGCAGCCAGAGGGGTCACCTGAGCCTACCCCAATATGTTGACAGATTTTACTTTAGCACTATGGACGGATGTTTTGGTTATCTTATGATGTGTGCTCACTGAGCTCCCCTCCCCCTCCCCCGAGAAAATCCTGGCTGCACCCCTGCGTGTTTGCATAAGCACAACTAAAAGTTGGAAAGGGTTCTCCCGTGTCGACCACGATAAATGCCGACTGGACGGATTCCGTATCGTGAACTAAATCAGAAACCGCGACAACAAAAACGGCAATTAAGCCGCCGCGCTGAAGGATCGAGCCGGTCCGGCCAGTTGAAGGCTATTAACGAGCTGGTCCGCTCGTGAATAAACTCGCACACCAGCAAAAGTCATCAATCACCACTGAAATGAATCCAATCGGACGTAGGTCGTCGGCAGACTCCTCCGGGCTTCAGCCTCGCTGTGTCAAGTTAACCACGTCTGCCAACCCTTTTATGGTGATATAAAACCCGGACCGGGCCCTCTAATATTGATGACTGGTTCCCTTGCCGTCGCCGGGATGCAATAAAACCCAGAAATGTGAAACCTGTTATCGAACTGAGATTCATGTTCCCGGTGACTCTGTGTGAAGCTGGGCGCGCCGGCCGTCGGTTCGTGCAGACCAGTCGGGTTATTGGCGGAGTGGTTACCTCAGCGCATTATGGCCATTTCACTGCGACGCACGGGTTGCATGGCGGTTTGGATAGAATGCTGCTGCCGATCTGTACAATAGGAACGCTGTTAGAAGGTATTCCATAACATTAAACCAGCAACCATACGTGGCGTGTCGTCTTGCGTTCAAAAATAAGGGCTTTCATTGTGAATGCCTCCACTTAGGTGGTTTCAATTTGGGTCACCGTTAGTATTTAAGTAAACGAATTACTTTTGCTCTTCTGTGAAACTGCTTCGTTACAGCAGTGTCAATGACAGTCGGACTTGTTATGGAAATGAAGTGACTTGAAATGTAGTGACAGTTCACAGGCCTTAACAGCTCTCTATTGCCGGCAGATGCCCTTCCCGGACCGGACCGGACCGGTTGGCGTATCGCACCCTGTTACGAATATCCCCTAGCACGCACGGGGCTGCAGTTCCTCGCAGAGTGCCCTGTGCGGCGGTGGACCCTTTTCGTGGCGCGTCTCCGCCGCGGCCGCCGTCGAGCCGTCTGACCGTTGCGTCGGAGCCGACGCGGCCGTTTGGGCCGGCCCGTCGGCTCGTCGGCCGGCCGGCCGTGGGCAGAAGCAGCCCCGACCGCTGGCCATTATTCGGAGTCTTTGTGCCGACTCCGGCGGTGGCGGCGGCGGCGGCGGCGGCATGAGCCAGTGGCTCTGCGGTTAACGGCGCGCCGTTCTGCCGGCGCCGGCGCCATAACCGGCCGCAGAGTAAAACTGACCGCGGCGAGCGGCGCTGGCCGGCCTGCGGAAGGCCGCCGTATAGACTGGGTCAGATCGCCGACCGGCGTCCGCAAACAGACGGGGCTGGCACCCAGATCAAGCGTGGCCGTCCGACCCACGCGGACAGCGGCTGCACGAACAGTACAAAGACGTTCGGTTCCAAACACCGACGACCGGCATCCAGATAACCCCCAGGCGTATCGCACCGCGCACAGACAGCGGGCGTCCAGGCGACACGCGGTCGTGCGACCACACACAACAGACAGCCGGGGCCGAGACACCCACACACAACAGACAGCGGGGACCGAGACACCCACACACAATAGACAGCGGGGACCGAGGCACCCGCACACAACAGACAGCCGGGGCCGAGACACCCACACACAACAGACAGCGGGGACCGAGACACCCACACACAATAGACAGCGGGGACCGAGGCACCCGCACACAACAGACAGCCGGGGCCGAGACACCCACACACAACAGACAGCGGGGACCGAGACACCCACACACAATAGACAGCGGGGACCGAGACACCCACACACAATAGACAGCGGGGACCGAGACACCCACACACAACAGACAGCGGGGACCGAGACACCTACACACAACAGACAGCGGGGACCCAGACACCCACACACGTCCGGTTCCACACACGGGCTTCCAGGAGATTGCACAGACGGAGGCAGCCGGCAGGAATCGGAGCCCACACGTAGGCAGCCAGCTTCCGCGTACGCCTTCAGGTGCTGTGAGTGCTCAACGTTTCATCGGATCCTTTGTACTCAAATAATTATTCCAATTTGTTCATATACCGATGTTAAATGAAGATGAATATCATAATACAATTGGACTCAGTATTGGGATGCAAGTTAATTATGCATCTATTTGAATCCTGCTGGCGTATACAGACCATTCGATGCTTGACATCGAAAACTGATACCAGTGGGGCGTCAGCTGACCACTGAGGACGGCAGCTGGTGGGCCGACTGGCTCGTGTTGGCCAACGCACTGACCACAGATGCAGATGCGCAGCTGCGCCGCACACGCAGGGTGGTCTGACTCAAAGCCAAACCCCATAGGCAGGCAGCCAGCTCCTGCAGACGGGCCATTATCCAGAGACTGCTATGCCCCCCGCCCCCCCCCCTCCCCCCCCCCCCTCTCCATTCACCCCAACCCCACCCGTCCGCCAGCACTGAATACCGGCTCGATGCTCCAACTGTCATACGGAAACCAACGTCCGAGCGCATTCAAAAAGGTATAGGCTTGTCTCCTACCTGAGCTGTTACAACAGTAAGGTCGGGCCAAGCTGGTCTCAAGTTCGAATGCTGGTTATTCGACCGCTTCCGAAGTGGCGGTAAAAGAAAAAGTGATCAAAGCTCAACGCTCATAGGTGTCTACCAAACAGCAAGGCACAATACAAATTGTGGCATCTACATTGTTTCCAAACTTTAAAAATGAAACCCAATTATAGCATCACCTTATATATTTACGACCTTCATTGGCACTAAGTGTGTGAGGTGGTGGGCACCGGATCGGTACAACGCGCACCGGCGCACCGACCTACCTCATCGTGATGATTAGAGTACTTCCAGGGTGGTCATCTTCAACACCCAGCTAATCTCCTCTTTCGATGGGATTCAAAGACTAGTTCACACCTTCCTCGGTAGACGTTCTACTTCAGGACGCACCAGAAGTATTCTGGCGTCGAAGCCGAGGCACTTTAGGAGAATATATTCGCCGTCGGAATGCCCACCTCTGACAGACCAAAGTTTTTCCTCGAGGCATTGATCTCGGTAGATGTGCTCACCAACATTGGCATGACTTGGGAGCATTACAGGCACGGACACACCTTTCGGCAGAATGACGATCCATGCCACCAGTCCCCTCGGGTACTTCCCCGCAGGGCGATCTGTCACCTGGAATATCCCCGTATGGTCCAATATAGAAACTGCTGTTTCCGGGCACATGGTTTCCAGAAAACGGGAAGTAAACTTTCTCATCCATCATGGTGTTCAAGTTCTGGTTGATACACATGATACCACGAGCAAGCTTGGGAATCCGCGGTTTTTGGAGCCTGTTCTGACCGCCGGAAACCTCGGGCGACTTACGCCTTTTCTATATCATAGCCCTTCATCCTCGATTGTTTTTTTCGGCGCAAGATCTGCTCATAGTTCAATATGCAAAGCATAGCCAAAAGGCGAACTGATACACCGACCTTCTGAGTGACCGCCTCCGCGAGTGAGTCGCCTTTCCCTGGCTCATCTGGGGGCGTAATGGCCGGTTGGTTAAAAGGCGAACTGATACACCGACCTTCTGAGTGACCGCCTCCGCGAGTGAGTCGCCTTTCCCTGGCTCATCTGGGGGCGTAATGGCCGGTTGGTTAAAAGGCGAACTGATGCACCGACCTTCTGAGTGACCGCCTCCGCGAGTGAGTCGCCTTTCCCTGGCTCATCTGGGGGCGTAATGGCCGGTTGGTTAAAAGGCGAACTGATACACCGACCTTCTGAGTGACCGCCTCCGCGAGTGAGTCGCCTTTCCCTGGCTCATCTGGGGGCGTAATGGCCGGTTGGTTAGCGCGTCGGACCGTTATGTGGAGGCCGGGTTCGAAGCTCGGTTGCGCTGTGGCCCCTGAGCGCTTATATGGCTAAGGCAGTCGCTGGCGCTCCATAAAAGGGACGTGACGAGGTGCGTCGAGGTTCGTTTTTAAATGGGCCCACCTCTTGCCCTATCCTGTTCCTTTCTATTGCCCCTTTCCCACGGTGCTGGGCATGCCTCTTCGTGTCGATTTTCTCAACATGCGATGTGCAGGTGACCGCGGGATGCCAAACCGGTCGGGGACATTGAGGAATTCAGCTTTGGATACCAGGCGACTTTCTTCCTTTACCTTGCTCACCATGTCTCTGCCTTCTCGCTTGCTTAAAGAATCCATGCTGTAAAGTGGTGCTTCGCACCAACTTGACATCTAGCGCACGCAGACAAAAGCACTTTCAAGTTCACGTAAAAAGTTTTAGCAGTTACTGGGGCAACGACTTTGGTAAGCAGTGCCCCGGACTCTTCTGCTCATACTTTGTGAACACCTTTAATGCCAGTATTTTTTAGCACCCTATGACGAAAGCCGAGCCCAAACCTCCCGGTATCAGTAAGTTAGCAATGATCGGTAATACCAATTATTGGTTATTTCCTCCTGTTCGTCTAGTACCACCACCCCCGGGTGTCAGTAGAGAGGCGCCTCACCCCTGGTCCGCTTCCCCAGGTGGCCTGGCTGCACCTGGAGCGCCAGTCACTGATCTCGATAGGAGAGAGGCTCATCACCCAGCTGGCACAGTTCTCCGTGCATCACGACCGGTACAAGACCTGGATGCTGAAGATCCGCAACGTCAAGAAGGAGGACGGCGGCGTGTACATGTGCCAAGTGAACACGGAGCCCATGCTGAAGCAGGAGGGCTTCGTCACAGTGGTTGGTGAGTAGCTGAATCCCCTGCTCACCCAACTGCCTAGCTTCAGCTTGGCTCAAATGGGCTTCTCTGTGGAAGATGTTACTCAACTATGATGTGTGTAAAGTGATGCATTTGGGTAGTTTTCGCAGTGAGAACGATACCTATAAAATGGGAGACCGGGATATAGACCAGATCGAAGTAGAGAAGGATTCAGGAGTTATAATTTCTAGGGATTTAAAGGCCAAAAACAATGAGTTGTTGCTAGGAGCAGGGCAATTCGGATGTTGGGATTCATGAACAGGAACGTCCATTACAAGAGTAGGAATGTTGTCAAAAAGCTATGTCAGACGACAGCTTATGTCAGACATAAGCTATATTATATCTGACATATACATTATACATTATATCTGATTATACATTATACATTATATTTTATATTAGATTATATTATAGATTATATTACATAGATTATATATATAGATTATATTATATTAGATTATAGATTATACATTATATCTGACATAAGCTAGCTAAGCTAGCTTATGTCAGACGACACTTCGAGCCTTGTGTACAGACTTGGTCACTATGCTTCCAAAAAGATATAGGTAGGCAGAAAGAGTACAGCTAAAAGCAACTAGGATGATTAATGGGATTGGCGACATAAAATATAAGGATAGGCTTATTGCCTTGAATTTGTATTCACTGAAATATCATAGACTTAGAGGAGATGTAATAGAGATGTTCAAGATTATGAAAGGGATAAACAAGATAGGTCTACATGGAGCACTGGTAATTAGCCCCAGACGTGGAGGAAACCAGTTTTATTTAGCAAAAGGTAATAGTAGAACTATGGAGAGGCACATGTCATTTAGCCAAAGAGTGGTGAGCCATCAAACCATTGGTTCGAGACACCTCCACGCAAATAAAGGTATATGATTATGCAAACAGTATGAAAATTATCGTCAAAGTTTCAATATTTGCGCCAGCCAAACCGCCAATACCGACCACGGGAATGGTTGCCGCAATTTTACTGCCTGGGCGGACGGTTTTTTAAGCCATGTACCTTGCATGTGCCTTATCGACGCCCTCATTGTCGGAAACTGAATCCCGTCGTGTCATCAATCACGTCTCCATCATTATTCGCTACCTTCAAACCCCCATAGCTGTGAATGAACCACGTACCGAACCACAGCGTCACCAGCTCGAGCTTCTCCGCCGAGCGATTTCAGTCTCGTCTGCGTCGCGGAGCGTGCGGTGTCTCGGTCGGCTCTCAACAGGCCGACCACGGCGGCGCTGGGGGCCGGCCACAACAACACACCCATCTGGCGTGGCCGGCCGGTGCGTGTCGCCGTGCTGTGGGCCCGCCGGAATCGCGATGGGGCGTCGGAAGGCGGCGCGGCGAGGCGGCGCCGCGGTTTGTTTACCGCCACCGCCGCCGCCGCCGCCGCCGCCACCCTGCCTGCAATATGCATCATCAATCCATCTCCCTCCCGACCGCAGGAATTCTAAATCCAGATCAGCGCTTGCGTGCAGTTTATGGCCGGCACCAATGACCCTAATTGAAACACATGTCCGGCCGCCTAGGGTCCGAGCAGCGCCGCACGAGCCGGCCAGCCGTTTTTTTGCGAATAGCGTGACATCTGGAAAGTGGTTGCTGTCAGCGAGTGGTTCAAGAGACGTAGGCGCTTACAGAGAGCTTTTTTGGAGGGGAGGATGAAGAGAGGTATTGCTAGGCGATGTTCTTGACCGCATGCGGTCTTATTTTTCAAATGCACTTCCCATTGTTGCCCTACCCCTTCCCTCACTTGTTCCCTGTCTTGGCCACCTTCTATTCTCCCCTCTCGTTTCCCATGTTGACTTTCCCCCCTTTCCCTCTCCATTTCGCCTGCTCTTCCCCTCACCCCCTCTTGCCTACCCTTTTGCCTGTTGCTCTCTGCTTGTGGTTTGCCTGCTTTGCCGTCTCCCCTCCCCCCCCCCCCTCTCTCTCTCTCTCTCCCCGAGTACGACACACGGCAGATTCCGAGCGATCCCACAAGAACATTGACCATGGACCGGCAGTTATGATTGGTCCATCGCTGCCGAGGCGAGCAAACCCTTGGTTTTAATATCGCTACAGCCTCCCAGTGTCGGATCAATATGGCCCCGAACGGATCGCCACGCTGGCGCAAGTGAAGCCGGTAATCCCGGAGTAGTCGCCAGTTGTCGCTGGGAAGCACCGTCCGGCCAGGGTACGCTGTAACCTGCCGGATAACGAGGGCTGGCGCGCGCGCCCGAGCTCCCAGCGGGGAATAGCCTCTGCCCCGCACTGCACGGCCGACAGGCGACCGTGTTGACGGCGCTGGTAGGATCGATCGCCGGTAGTGACAGTATCTGGCCCCATCAGTTGAGCATCTGCTGACTGGCATTACGTTGACGTGATGCTGTCAGCTGTCCGAATTCTGTGCCCTTGACTAGAACACGTATGGCCGTCCATACAAAGAACAGCCGATTCGAAGTACGCTAACCTGACGTGCCTGTCCATAGTATCCCAGCTCGCCGATGGCATTCTCCCTCCGGCATCAGCTGTCGGCACTCACCAGTCGGCCTCCCGAGCCGACGGTCGGTCACCAGTCGGCCTCCCGAGCCGACGGTCGGCGGTGCGTGCCCGCAGTCAGCGCTGCTCCGGGCCTGCCGCAGGGACTGCTGGAGCCGGCGACGCCCGGCGCCGCCGCCCGGCACCCCGGGCCTGAAATGTAGCTCGTCCTAGGCGCCAGCGGGCCTTAGCTGGCCCCGCGGCAGCTGTTCGTGCCAACTGCGGCTTTATATATCTACGGTCTAATTGTCCGGCAGTCAAAGTTCACCCGGGATGAATTTTTCTAACGACTACAAAGGGCATTGGCATAGCGAACTGCCCCTGAGTCGAGGGGACTTGTAGTGTGAGTTATTCACCACTTTTCCACAACAATGGGCCAATCTCAATGATAAAGTGCTTTGCGTTAGATTACAGAAATCCAGCTGCTCAGGAAGGATTGTGATGTTGGTCCGCTCACTCGGTGGTTTTCGGAAAATATTGTGCGCGTCAGGCGTTTTGTAAAAATGTGTGGCTGAGATTTGAGCCCGTTAACTCAAGATCTGCAATGATGTCAGACGATAAACTCGTTTTGAATGGTCTTCTTGACTCGATGAAAGTTCAGCCTTTGACATGGTCACGTTTACAAGTGAATGAAAATCGCCCAGTGGGTTCTTGGTGACGATGAAATCGGCGATTTGTCTGGCCATTTGTTAAGTTCGAACTTACCTTTAAGTTTTTGTCAATGCTGATTCACAACTTTCGGCTGAATTGTCACCTAGGTCATGTTTTCGACGGGACGTGTGCTGGGTACCGGCTGGCTGGGGCGAATTATTGAGCAAAACGTACTGCCAGGTCTCATCTCCCCAACAATGCGGGACGGAATCAGCTGGGCTGTGTGACGGCCTAATGAGCCCACTAATCGCCGAGCTACGCTACATAAGCGGCTCTACTGCTCGTGACGGCTAACAAAGAAATGGTTTTAGTTATAAAAGCCCGCGACTTCATCACTGCACGCTAATCCAGTCTCTGCTCGCTCGCCGCTCATTTTAGGCGGAATAATGTGTTACTTCAATGTATTCACCCCACCCTCATCTCAGTGAGCCGAATTGTGCGCTTAGACAATGCGGTATGTGTCGCTAAATTGCCAGACCGTGCATGCAAATTGCATGGTCCTTCCACGCGTAACTCAGCTCGGGCTGTATTTTCGATGTTCCGTGAACCGCCACAGTTGTGAAGTAGACCATCGATTCGTGATTATCCGGCGCAATACGGTACGATCCAGTACGAGCCGGTACGAGTCGGTCCGATTTGGTACGAACCGGTATGATTCGACACTTTCCGGTATGTTCCAGCAAGATCAGCCACGATCCGCCCTGCTCCGGGTCCGGCCCGACACCAAACAGCCTCGTGCTGTCTGTGGTCCGGTTAGAGTGGCAGCCTCGGGCAGCTCGCGCCGCCTGACTGTAACCTTTGACCTTGGCTGCCCCACGGGGGTGTTCACAAGGCACCGTCAGCTGCAGGCGTCATTGCCAGTCCTGTCAACGGACGTCCTAGGGAGAGGGAGTTCGGGGTGAGAGAACGCTTAGTGCGCAATGTCTGATGGATGCGTAACAAACAGCTCATGCATGGGTGAACCACGCACATAAACTCCTGACAAATTATACAACGGTGTTGTGTGGCACATGTAACTAAACGTAGCCCTTGCAATGGGCTGCTTCCGTACGAGAACGTCTTAATACGATAGGATTCTGGCCGGAAATTTGCACACCAAAATGTAACACTATGTCGTTCATATTCTACTATTCCAGGCTGAGCAGACGGCGTTCTACTTTTGGCTTCTCCGAAATGTTCTTGGTTGGTCAAGAAAAAGTACTTCATGGGGATGATGCTCACTTATGTCTGTGATGGAATCGAGATCCACTCGGCTTTTGTAAACAATTTGAACCAATAAGACGCCTCGTCTTGTAGCAAATAAAACATGATGGCACAGTTTGGATGCCGTTATGATTTTTCAGCAATAGCGAAAGACGTTCGCAGTTAGGTGAAGATGCCACGTGCCATCATTTTCACGGATATGGTTTTTGATGGCAGATCATCTGGGCAGGGTTGCCTCAACGAGGGTGACCCCAGCCACTGTGACAAGACTCCTTGACATGCGGGCTCACTGACCGTGCCGAGCCCTATCGTCCCAAGCCACTGTGAGAGCGCTCTTACAAAAGGGATGCACGGCACTCGTCTAAGCGCGCCCGTTTTAGTGGCGCTCTGGTATAGACGTAACCGCGCCTTGAATGCTTGTGGGTGTATTTCTGTTTGGAGTCATTTGATGTGGCCAAAACGCAGGATTAATCCCATGCACCCAAACCTTATTCTGGTCTAGATCCAGCTCCCCCCATTGGTGGTTAGATCAGTGAGTGATAGCGAATGCAGCGGTCACATAAACGCTTAGAGGTCATGGCGTCAGTTGACCGCCGGCCTCCCATCCAGTACTTCATGCTGCGAACCTCCGGGCTATTTGGTCCACCTGTCATTGTGTTCATGGCGCAAAATGGCGGATGTTAGATGAGACAAGCGGTCGACCAATGGAAGAGACGGCAAAATCTCGGAACGCTGTCGGGATGCTTGGTCTGCCTCTGCCCTGATGTTAGTATCATGCAGGTCGGATCCGTCACCGCCTAACGTTGCGTGGTGTAATGCTTTGACTGGGCTCACGTCGAATTTTAGCTCAATGATTCAACGTGGCTGCTTTACGCTATCCGCGGTGACCGTAGGCTAAGGTTAGATCGGATGCGCATTACCAAAAGGGTATTTATTTGCTGTATGTTTTGCATCAAGCTTACCAGATCAAGCTGAAACTCCTAATACATCCTTCAAAACTTCAGATCACCTGGCATATTGGCGTTTTTACGCTTTTCTTCGGCTGCATCGCCATGACTAAAACGCTTGGATAATGGAAATACTACTACGAGGTATTTGTTTCCCAATGGGCCCGTGAGAGGCCCAAAAGTTTGCCGGATCATTACAGCGTACAGATACTGTTTGTTGCAAAAGGAAAGCGCCCAATGGATCGAGAGAGCATGCTGCAACTTTCCGCATGTTCGATTAGAGATAGATTGCTTTGCCAGGCCCGAACTCGTTAACTCTCCAAGGAGCTATTTTTAGCTGCGCGTCACTGGCGAGGGTGGCGACAGTTACATCTTTGTCTTTGCTCCCAACTTAGCCACGTTCACCACATCATCGGGCTGGCGGACTTGAAGGTTGACTGCCTGAATTGCCCAGGGGTACAGGTGCCTGATAAATCCAGCAAGGTTTTGTTTGACCTCTTACGACGAGCCACTTACCTTCCAGATCAGGTATCTGTGTTGCTCGAATGCCAAAAGCGCTGAACGTCGACTTTCCGGAGCCTATAGCGGCATTTCTGGCCGAATGGTCAGAGCATCGTGTTTTGAATCCGAATAAGCGTGACAAAGTGATTTGGGATCGATATGAAGTCAGTCAGCGTCACTGTGGCTCGTTCAGCCTGCTTGACATTGAAAGGATCGTGGCGTCACAAAAGGGACCTATATGCCACCAATGTTTGATGACTGTGCATTATAAACCTGCCACACATTGCAATAAATAGAGAAAAAAACAGCACTCCTCGTAACTTTGCTCTCCAGGCCTTTCAGAATGGCGCGGGATTTTCATCGCCTGTTAACAACAGTGACTAAGCTTGTTGACAAGCACATGCAACAAATGCACTGATTTATCTCAGAACACTGTACGGCGCTGCAGCATCGATTTTCCCGTCATTTCACAAATGTTTGCTTGCGGGTCTCAAGAATATAGCTCAAACATCGCTAACGCCGGCGCCCGCCGCTCGGCGAGCTCTCCTGAACACGCTGACCGCGCGGCAGCGGTGTGCGTTAGCCATCTGGCGGCCGGCAGTGACGTTGTCGTCTGGCCCTCAGTGCCGCCCAACATCGTCGACTCGAAGAGCAGCCCATCGGAGGTGGCCGTGCACGAGGGCAACAGCGTGCGCCTGGCCTGCCACGCTGACGGCCAGCCGCCTCCGGCGATCTCCTGGAAGCGCGAGGACAACGGGCCCATCTTTGTCAACAGGCCCGGTGAGTCGAGACGACAACAGCCTGGCTGCCGGGCGCCGGCCAGCGTGTCGGTCGGCTCACGTGCTCCCCCCCCCCCCCCCCCACACTGCAGAGGTCGTTATTCAATCGGCGTCGGGGTGGCGCGAAATGAAGAGATTCCGCGTGCGCAAGCGGCCGGCCGGCTGACAGGCCGGTGGTGGTCGACAACAGCCGCGCTTCAAAACAGTCACATTAAACGCTGTTAATCTTGTTTAATGGCGCCTTGGAGAACAGGCGGCGGCCGCTGGCGCGCCACGCTCGGCCTTGTTGCAACAGCCTGCCGTTTTGTTTCCGAGTCTGCGGCTGACTCCCGCGCCCGGACCGAGTTGGTGCGGTGTGTAAACATCTCCTGCGGCCGGGAGCGCGCAATAACGGCCAGCCAGCTTTTTCTCGAGTTTAACTAGAGCAGCTGCAGCTTCTAAATTGATTCTAATGGCACGCCGAGTGGGAGGGGCGCGGCAACTTGACACGGTCCGGTCAACTCAGTTATGTTCCGTGGCGATAATTGCCCGGGCGATGTGCCTCAGCAGCTCGGTCAGCACATATTCTGAAAACTCCAGCACTTTCACTGGAAATTCTACCGCAAATTGCGGTGCGTTGCCCACCAAAGCGATCTTGGAAACGGCGTCGCTGCTATTCTGGTGGATGCGTATCAAAGCGTACAAACCCTCCTGTAATATCGCTTTCATTTAGGAACCGGGTCGTGTCTCTCCCCAAACCGGGTTACGCAAGCCGAGATCACTTCCGATGCGCCGTGAGTGTGCCTTTTTCCGGCTGCTCTCTGCTGGAGTTATTCGCGGCCCGCCACGGGACCCGTTCGATCAGCATGCGGCGTCCAGGCTCTCGGGGCCGGCCCGGCTTCTGAAGCTCACGGGCCGGCTGCCGTCAGCCAGTTCTTCCCGGATGGCTTTAAGGGACTCACAGGATTTCAATGAAATCGTCAGGTTAGACATTCAAGACCTTGCGCCAATCTCGTACAAAATTGGACGGAAATTAGGGTGTTTCCTCCCCGAAAAAGTCAAGCTGAAATGTTCCATGGGTTGTGAGGATGAGGATATGGGTAACAGGTAAGAATGGAAAAATGGGTGCAGAAAACTGCACGTCGACGGCGTTGCAAGGCAAAATGCTCGCACAGGTGGAAATCTGGAAGGCTAAGGTAATAGTTTACGCTTGCTGTATTAAATAACTTGTATCAAGCGAGATAGTTCGCAACCCCGCTAAATCGTGATTTTCCTCTATCCTGTTTCGGTGTGTTAACAATACATATGTTATGCCTGTCAGCACCATGCCTAGCTCAGTGCATATTCACATATACAATTTAGCGAAAAGTCAGTCTGCGCAGAGAAATGATGGTGTGCACCTAAAACACATCGCTACGATAAAAAGCACCAGATGTCACTCTCCATGGGACTCCTTATGACTTACGATGAAGGAATGCACCTCTTTGAACATGTGTTGGGAGCGAACCGTCGGCGAGCCTGTGCTTGATACCTTGACTTTCATCCCAGTTCTGCTGCTCAGAGATTTTTTGACGGGACCTCTGCTGTCGTGAACAGATGTGTGTTTGATTCAAGATGAGTAAATACACGATTAATTAATGACATCAGTTTTGGTGGGCCACAACTGAATCGATTCTTTCGCATACACATCAAATATGAACCACGATTTGAATCATTGCTAGTAAAGAGTGACTGGCTATGAATCTAGCCAGCGTTGGCAATTTCAACCACCGAAATTGATGAGCTTGCAATGGTTTGCAGTTTTGACAAATGTTGCCGGACAAGCGAAACGAAAAGTAATATTTGAGATGGGTAATGATAACAATTCATAGGTCTACATGCGTGTTTAAACGCCCAAAACGGGAGTATCTATGGTTTGGCCACGGTAGCTGGTGTTATAACGTGTGCAGCTCCGAACAAACTGACCCATAATTCGGCCATAAGTTTGTCCATTTTTTCCTCCGTTAGTACATGTTAGCCTCATCCAATCCGTTGCAACGCTAGTTCCACGTGGTCTGGACCCTCTTTTGACCAGTATTTGTCAGCTTTTTTACAAGATGATAATTTTGCTCTTGTCATGCTAATTGCATGGGGCAGGCGAATCATGGGGATAGGTACATTCGAATAATACGGGAAGAACATGTATGACCAAACAGCTGACCTGCAAAAAACTAACAACTTGCGCAGTGCAACATTTAGATAAATGCGCTTTTTATCGCTGACGATTGCGTGAATCTGCAATCAGATGTCCCGCCACTGATGTAGAACTTGTTTGTCGTTGTCAAGTAAGACGCTCACGACCCACAGCCTAGCTCGTAATCAGGAACGTCATTTTGAGAATGTCACCCATCTTTGGATACTTGTTTGATTATTCGATTTATTAGCGCCTCTACGATTGTGGCTATTTGGGGAGAATTTGGCTTCCTGAACACAATCTTCATGTGCCCTTTGTCGGCAGCCTCCTGGAAACTAATTTTGATCGGCTAATCCGGTGAGAATCAGTCTCCTCCGAGCTTCTGAGCTTGAACTCGACGCCTGAGATCGTTCTTTAGCTAATGATTGATGTGTGAGGGTGTGCCGAGTGCAAAGGTCATCTAACGCCCAAAAGCCAGGCCGTCCGGAAAGGACTGCCTTAACACCCCAGGGTACCCCCTTAACGCTTTAAAGAGTGTCGCCGCTGCTCCTAATCATACACCAGGATCTGCTGACGTCAGTCCTTTGACTCTTGGCCGGTGCAGCCGGTGTCATAAATTACACCAACTTCTCTGACTTCACTTTTTGCATGTGGGAGGTGACGAAGCCTGCTCTCGCTATTCAAGTTTGGGGCCGACCTCTTATGGACCCGAGAGCACTCATCGACCGTGGTGTCGGCCAGCTAATGGGAGCCGGCCCGTCCACTCAGAGCCGTCCCTTTTTCCCGCGCTGCGCACTGCATTTGACGGGCAGCTTTCCCGGCAGAGAGGAGGCACAACGGCTCGACGCTGGCCCTCCAGCAGGTCAACAGGAAGGCCATGGGGGCGTACCTCTGCATCGCCAACAACGGCGTCCCTCCGTCGCCCAGCAAAATGATCACACTGAAGGTGGAGTGTGAGTAAGCGCGCGTGGTGGCCGGTCGGGGTGTCGGGGAAGGCTGTGGACTTGTTCGCCGAGGCGCGACTCGCCTGCAATAGGTGGTAGCGTCCCGTGATTAACCTCTGGTGACCCGGTGCATTCTCCCGTCTCCCAGGCAATGGTGCACGCGGCGCTCCCCTGGCCCGACGGCGGTCCGTGACAGCTGTGGCGTGTGTGGCCTCTGCTGATCTCGGGTGCGCTCGAGTGTTCCTCCTCTCACCACTAGTCGCCGTACCGGGCGCCGTGTTCTCTCACCTGACCTCACCTGACCTCGCCTGACCTCGGCTGACCTCGGGTGCGCTCGAGTGTTCCTCCTCTCACCACTAGTCGCCGTACCGGGCGCCGTGCTCTCTCACCTGACCTCGCCTGACCTCGGCTGACCTCGCCGTGTGGCCGGCCCGGCAGTCGCGCCCTCCATCCGCGTGGAGACGCAGCTGCACGGCGCACCGCTGGGCACCTCCGTTCAGATGACCTGCCACTCGGAGGCTCAACCGCGCGCCATCCACTACTGGATGCACCGCGACAACATCCTGTTGCACACGCCCGCCAAGTACCACATCGACGAGCTGGTGGATGGCTTCAGGACCACGTGAGTGGCCGGTGGCGGGCCGGGCCTTCCTGTGCGTCGAGCCTGGGCTGCGTAAGCACTACTCATGTGGTCACCACTGCCCTAATGTGGTGGGCCTCCCCAAGTTGGGTGACCCAATAGGTGCTCGGGTAGGCTGACGGACTAGAGAAAAACCAGTGATGCGCCGGTGGTGTTACGGAAGAGTGTTGTCCAAATGAGTTCGTCGAGCCGTTACGGAGGGGTCTCTGGGGACAAAAATACAGTCCTTTTAATGGTGTGTTCTGCTTTTATCAAACCGCAGTCTTGCAGAGAGAAACCCGAGCTCAAGACGACAGATTCTGTTTCACCGTCGCGCTGAAGCGCCAGTCCGCCGTCCTCCCATCGCCGACTCACGCTTCACGCTTGTCTCGTGCGATTTCAGGATGCATCTGACGGTGCACGATCTCCGTGAGCCCGATTTTGACATGTATAGGTGTGTTTCGAAGAACTCGTTCGGCGAGGCCGAAGGGACAATACAGATATATGGTAAGAATTAACAACAGTTGCACGAGCATGTGTATGCTGCAAAGATTTCACGCTGCAGTTGCTCACGCCCTAAAGAAAAGCCACTTGACAATTGAAAAGTGGCTTAAAAATTGGTTTGCTTTTTGCGACCAGCTTACTCACAAACTGTCAACGTATATGTATATGTTATTCTGTATGTGTTCTTTCTTTCCTTAACTTTTTACTTGGCTTCCTTTCGCTCTCTTTTCCATAGCTTTTAACTTAGCTCTTCTTAACCTCCGAACCTAGGACCTCGCAATCTACATCATATACGCGAAAAAAGCGCTCAAAACGGTGACTACTCCTCTAAAGCACGCAACACACAGAGCCCTCTCACTCACGCCACACCGTGCCCGATGCATGATCCCCGAGTGCGTCGCGGCCCGTCGGTGGTGAGCTCCCCTCTCCGTCCGGCCGTCGGAGAGGCCCCTCCGAGGGCGGCGGCCGCCCTCCGCCCCAGCGTCCGATCTACCCCCCCCCCTCGGCACCCCCGCCGGCCAGTGGCGTGACCCGCGGCCGCGAGCAAATCTCGCCGCTCATCTATCTGCCTCTTGCTGCCTCATTTCTCGCGCTGCTACATTTATTTCCCCATCGCCCTGGCGGCGGGCGGGCGAGGAACCTGCCGGCGATTAGATTGGCGTTCAGGTTGTGGCGCTGCCTCCCGCGAGAGGTGACCGGGCCCCCGGGGCGCTGTTACTACCGCCGCGCGAGCACCGTTTTTCCCCACCTCATTCCGTATGCATTCTGGATCGGCCGGGGAGTTGCCGGCGATGGAAAATCGTCCGGCGGAATGGGGCAGCGAAATATATGCCGCCATAATTTAGCAATGATAGGGCAGGGACGCGGGATCTTTGAGGTAGTCACGCGGGTACCGTTCGTTACGTAACGGTGAGGAGCGTGGGCTTCAGAACAAAACTGGTAATGGTAGATCGAGCACTGGTTTGAAATAAACAGGATACAAAGGGTAAAATTGTGACAAAAGAGAAGGGTTGGCGAGCGAGGAGGGAGAGCCTGAGGAACAGACCTCCGTGTAGCAGAACCGACTAGAACCGACTATATACTGCTATCGGCATATCACTTAAGACTTTGATAGCTACCGTAGACTAGTTGCTGTCAAATATCCTGCGTTCACAACACGAGCGACCAAAGCTTAGACAACATTGGTTGTTGTTTATGCTCGACGGCCTCCTCTAAATGCTTCGCAGTCAGGCAGCATGTCATCCATGCGTCATGCTTGTGGGGTAGGCCAGGGCAGGGGACTCGAGAACGCTCTATGTGCCAGCCATTCCTAGGGTCCGTCCGTCCATCCGTCCTCCGATCCATCGCTGCGCCGCTGCGTCGCTCCGTCGGCCGTCCGTCCGTCCGTCCTCCGGTCCATCGCTGCATCGCTGCGTCGCTCCGTCGGCCGGCCGGCCGTTCGTCGCAGCGTCGGTGCGACATCGACACCGACACGGGTGGCGGCGCGGCAGCCCGTCATTAGTGCCGGTCATTTATAACGCGGCCCGCAGGGCGGTGGGCCCGCCGCCCAGCAAGAAGCTACACCAATACCGCTCTTGATACCGCTCGCACGCCCTGTTAATTAAGCGGAGAGGTGACGAATGCACCGCCGCTTGTATGTGAAATGGGACATGGAGATTGGACGGGCGCCGGAGAGTGATGCGCGTCGGGTAATGGGCCGAGGCGGCTTCAGCGCGTCCGATCGAGACTTCAGGGGACCGCGGAGGCGGCGGGCGAGACTTCAGGGGACCGCGGAGGCGGCGGGCGACGGCGTAGGGCGCGCGTGGAGCGAGTACACGCATGCGGCCGAGCGCATGAACATAGCGAACATGAGGACAGACGCCGCCCAGGCTCCGTCATCCCCCGGAATGAAGATCACAGTATTCGCTTAAAACAGGCGTTACACGTGTACCAACATTTCCTCGAGATAGATATCACGTGGGCTCCACCAAACCCCGGCACAGACATCATTTAGGCTCCACCCTCCTATCACACGGACTCACCACCACCCAGCTGGACATTCACGAGCTCCTCCATCCCCCCGGCACAGACATCATTTAGGCTCCACCCTCCTATCACACGGACTCACCACCACCCAGCTGGACATTCACGAGCTCCTCCGTCCCCCCGGCACAGACATCATATAGGCTCCACCCTCCTATCACACGGACTCACCACCACCCAGCTGGACATTCACGAGCTCCTCCATCCCCCCGGCACAGACATCATACGGGCTCGCCATCCCTGTGAAAGACATCACGCGGGCTTCACCATCTCTCAGAACAGTCAGCATACATGCTCCACTATCTCCCAGAACAGACATCACATGTGTTCATTACCCCATTAGGACAGAGACCACACGGGCCCAGTCACCTCTTCGGGACAGACATCGCTTGACCTACACCATCATCTCGGGACGGACACCGCACGGACTCCAATACCCCATCGGAACCAGACTTCACCTCGGTGCAGCCATCTCCTTAGAGGGGTCAGAACTCAAACTCTACTATCTCTTCAGAAGAGTTCTTGCGCCCAGAGCTCAGGAGCCGCGCGCATTCAGGAATCCACAGCTGGTGGGTGAGATTGAACGACTCAGATGGTGAGCTGTCGCCTCTGACCTGATTGATGCGTTCATTCGTGGGTTGATATGCGTGCCAGGCTTGATAAGACGGTCACGTGGTAGCATCACACCACGTGCTTGTATCTAATATATATATATATATATATATATATATATATATATATATATATATATATATATAATTCCACGGTGCAGACACGTTAACCACCTATCTACTTAATTTTGATGAACATTTAAGCACTCGTACGGACCATGCATACCAAAATGCTCATTTCTCTCCCCAGGAAAACGTACGGAGATACTACCATGTAGGTAACTCCGTTGCTTCTTCTCACATCATAGTATCGTCATCTAACCCGATTGAAAAGTAAAAAGAATAAATACGCAGAGCTCATTTAGTTTAACCCATTTTCTCTGTTTAGTGGCTCCTACTATCCAGCAGCCGCTGTCTCTTCGTTTTAACATCCTCCCTTTCTTTAAGATCTCGCGTTTATCGCACTGCGAGCGTTGCGAACTTCTCCGCATCTAGCTGAGCCGTATTTCTTAGTTACCGTCCATCTCACTGGACTCGCCAAGCTGGCCATGCCACCGTATGCATCCAGTCACAGACAGTGGGCTGGTTCACGAACTGCGTAGGGTGATCCTGACGATAAGCTTATGAACGCGTACTTGTTTATCTCCACGAACGCTATCGAGCCCGCGCCAATGCCAGGGGTGACCCACTCGGCGGTCCCCTCGGAGGAACTCGGGCTTCCCTGCCGGCGATAGCGCGCTGACAGCTATTTCCTGACCAGATTGATGGATGCCGCTGCTGCGTATCGATAATTTTTCCATTTGTCAGTGGGGGCACATCGATACGAGGACAAGTTGTTAGGTGCAAGTGGCAGACGCACAAAACAATGTCAATTATGAATGGTGTTTGCCACCGGCTCGGCCACCGCGTCGCCGGACGCAGGGACTCCGCGTCGGCTCGGCGCTAAGCATCCCATTAATATGCCGGGTGGCGGCGGTGTGTCGTCGGCCATCGGCCTGCTGTCACGTCCGGCAGCGGTACTGTGTTCTGACGCGTCCCTGTCGTCAGCGGCGGTGCTGTGTTCTGACGGTCCAATTCCGTCAGCGGCAGTGCTGTGTTCTGACGCGTCCCTGTCGTCAGCGGCGGTGCTGTGTTCTGACGCGTCCCTGTCGTCAGCGGCGGTACTGTGTCCTTACACGTCCCTGTCGTCAGCGGCGGTGCTGTGTTCTGACGCGCCCCTGTCGTTGGCGGCAGTGCTGTGTTCTGACGCGCCCCTGTCGTCAGCGGCGGTGCTGTGTTCTGACGGTCCAATGCCGTCAGCGGCAGTGCCATGTTCTGACGTTCCAATGTCGTCGGCGGCGTTGCTGTGTTCTGACGCGTCCCTGTCGTCAGCGGTGGTGCTGTGTTCAGACGCTCCAATGTCGTCAGCGGCGATGCTGTGTTCTGACGCGTCTCTATCGTCAGCGGCGGTGCTGTGTTCTGACGCACCCCTGTCGTCAGTGGCGGTGCTGTGTTCTGACGGTACAATGCCGTCAGCAGCGGTGCTGTGCTCTGACGCGTCCCTGTCGTCAGCGGCGGTACTGTGTTCTTACATGTCCCTGTTGTCAGCGGCGGTGCTGTGTTCTGACGCGCCCCTGTCGTCAGCGGCGGTACTGTGTCCTTACACGTCCCTGTCGTCAGCGGCGGTGCTGTGTTCTGACGGTCCAGTGCCGTCAGCGGCGTTGCTGTGTTCTGACGCTCCAATGTCGTCAGCGGCGATGCTGTGTTCTGACGCGTCCCTGTCGTCAGCGGCGGTGCTGTGTTCTGACGCGTGCCTGTCGTCAGTGGCGGTGCTGTGTCCTGACGCGTTCCTGTCGTCAGCGGCGCTGCTGTGTTCTGACGCGTCCCTGTCGTCACCGGCGGCGCTGTGTTCTGACGGTCCAATGCCGTCAGCGGCGGTGCTGCGTTCTGACGCGTCCCTGTCGTCAGCGGCGGTGCTGGGCTCTGACGCGTCCCTGTCGTCACCGGCGGTGCTTTGTTCTGACGCGTCCCTGTCGTCAGCGGCGTTGCTGTGTTCTGACGCGTCCCTGTCGTCAGCGGCGGTGCTGTGTTCTGACGCGCCCCTGTCGCCCGGCAGCCACGCGCGCGGCCGAGCGGCCACACACGGCGCCGCCGAGGCCGCCACCCGACCGCTGGCCCACGCGGCAGCAGTACAATCAAGATCCGCGACCCGATAGTCCAGGTGAGCGGAAATGTGACCGAGCTGGTCGCCACAGATAAAACGGTCGCCCTCCTGCGGCGCCGGGTCGGCCGGCGGGCCAACGCGGGCTTAGACCCGTCTGGCCTGCTGGCTGGCCTAGCACCGACTTCAGGCAACTACCGCGACCCAGGTAGCTTCTTTACCTTCTGCTGAACGGAGGTGTGGCTTCACTTCACCATCAAGACCTCTTCCAGTAGGGCTGTTCCTAGTTTGGTAGAGGTCACGTTTCATATCACGTAACACGGAGAGGGCGCTGGGAGCGTGTCTGGCCACCATTTGATAGGCCGTTGCGATCCACTGGCCGCGCGGCGGCTCTGGAACCGCACAGCCGAGTCAGATGGGGCCTCTTTCCACTGACTTTCACGGGCGTCGGCCTGACTTGGCATCGGACCACGCCGGCCTGCCCCGTCAGAGCATGCTCGCGCCGGCAGAGGCCGAGATTGCGAGATGGTTCGGCCGCACAGCATGCCGAGGATGGGACGTGGTCGGAACTGGGACATGAACCCACCTACGGGGTCATGTCCCAGTTCCGGCCTGAGACGTGACCCGGACCTTGACTTGATCCTAACTGGACCGCAGCTCCGCCATGACTCGGGCTGTGACGTGATCCGGACGCGGGTCAATGCGTGCTGCGACAAGCGCCAGCGAGTGACCTCAGCCCCGGCCGGCAGACGTTGGCGGCGCGGTCGCGGCGCCGGACGACCGTCTGCTGCCGTCGTCCGGCTGCGGCCCGCGGCGGCAGACCCTGGCCGCGGCGACGGCCGCCGTGCTGGCGGCGGCGGCGGCGGCGCGCCTCCTGAGGCCGCTCCAGGGACGGCCCTAGTCTCCAGAGAGGGCCCCAGATCCGGCGGCGGCGGCGGCGCGCCTCCTGCTCCAGGGGCGGTGCTAGGCTCGGCGCGGCGGGACGGGGCGGCCGCCTCAGCGGCTCTGTGGTCTGCTGCCGGGCAGGACAGGGGTGCTGAGGGAGACGTCGACAGCTGGTGATGGTGGTGTCCCCACGGCCGGGCGGCAGGCTGGACGATGCTGCCCGGCCCTGTTGGTTTGGAGGTGATGCTTTCCATTGTTGCAGTATGGGTGGTGTGGCGCGTGCGTGTGTTATCTTATCTTGGCTCGGTGTTCGGTGGTAGTTTGGGGGGGGGGGGGGCGGTGCAATGGAAACCAAAGACCTTGTTATTGGACTGGATTGCTTGTTGGTCGCTTTTTGGTCGGCGTGTTATTATTGTCGATGCGTAAGTTTTGGTCTGTTGTGTTCTGGCATGACGTTCGTCTCGATTGCATCCCTCCCAACTACAATGAACTCACAGTTACCAATGTCGTGTGAAACATTGCAGTCTGCTTTTTGCGCCATCACTTCAGCGCAGTCTTACGGGAATGAACGGGGCGAAGGTTGCGGCGGTGTGGCCCATAACAGGCAGTGCTGACTTATCGTTTTAGGCAATTGTCAGCGGTCAAACGCCCCAACAAGGCACTGGGAGTGCCATTCTATCAGAAAGTGAAATGTGAGCGAGGCTGCGACGAGCGTAAATGCATCAGCTGCGTTGTGCACCTGTATGTCGATAAGCATCAGCCATCTGGATTATTGTTCACCACTTAAAATTTGAATTATATTTTACGCATTCGCTACATAATCAGAATCCCTTGCAGGTACCGAAAGATTGCGTGAAGCGTCTTGCGGCAACGTATTTAATCAAGACAGGCCATTAAAGCATATCCGGTAAGGTGGCATCGTGAGCGCTCCTGTGGGCCGTTCTTGATAAGGTGGCATCGTAAACGCTCCTGTGGTCCGTTCTTGATAAGGTGACATCGTGAACGCTCCTGTGGGCCGTTCCTGTACTGCGCATCCTGCGGCTCTAGAGTGTGGAGTGCGGAGTGGAGTCTTATCGGACCTTGAACACTGCGTGTTGTCTTGCGCCGTAAACCCGAGCTGAATGTCCCACCGACCTCGAGCCCTTTCAGAAATACAACCTCTATCAGTGCAGAAAATATTTTCCTGAGAAAGCCGGATCCGCCAAATCTATGTTTTTAACTTCATGGAGCTGGTTTGATTAAGGTACACCGAACACGGTTAGATGTCCAAAGAGATGAGGGCCATTAAAACGTCTTACAACTGTTGAGTCGGTGTCACAAGGGAAGACGTGCGATTCAAAACGCCTTTTCCAGGCCAAAAACATAAACACACAACAGCAAGCTGGTGTTTGGTTTGCAATGTACGGTATTTCGGCTTACCGCAGTGCGTGGTGCTTTCTATTATTGTCATGGTTTGCAATGCATGGCATTTTTAGCTTACCGTCTCGTAATGCTACGAGGTAGATAGCGCACCGCCATATTCGTGCGCGTTCGTGATACCAGCCTAGCACAGTACCCAACCTTGAGCGAAAAGTCGGCAGAAATATAAGATCGTACGGCGTGAATAGCTAGCAAAAACAAAAACAAAAATCGTTATGACTAGGAGCAGCTGATGTGACTTCCTACGAGCGTAGCTAAAACAAAATTGTCCAGGCTCCCATTCTGTAAAGGACCTTGATCTTCCATTAATTTCGAATAATGTTTAGGAGCATGTTTCAATCAAGAAACCATTTATTCAACCCCACCAAACGTAGAACAATTCAAACGGTGCACTTTTTACACTTCTTACTTTAGTTTACGTTGCCAAGATACATTGGCTTAAACCTCTGTTGTAAAACTCGTACGTCTGCAGCATTCTGGCCTCAGCCAGACATCATGTTTAGGACAAAACTGTGCTCAATGTTGTGTAATGAGCGAACGGCTTGCAGAGAAAGTGATATCACGTGAATCAAGAGCAGAAATGTTTTGTTTGGCAGCTTTGTTCGTGTGCACTACTTGACCCAATCTACTATACAAAATTCGGCGTGTGAATGATGAAACTGCTTAAAGCAGGCTTACTTACAAGCTGCTCAAAAACGTTATGCATACCCTCATGTGTGTAGTTGTAACCCAACATGCCAGTATTTCTGACAAACGCAGGCTGAATGCGTTTCAACTATGTGAGCGCTCCGGCCTCCGCCAAAACACGCACAGTGAGATGCACTGCCACGGGAGGCGCTCCGTTATGTAGTGCACAGGCCAAACCGCCTTGTCAGCAGCCGACCAGCCATTACCATACAAAGACCGCTAATGGCTTCTCTGAGCAGCCGTCTGTTCATGTATTATGCATTCAACTGTGGCGGGTGTTGGGGCTGGGGCCGGGACATCGTCTCAGCAGGTGGGGACGGCCGCGAACTTCTGTCGGCCGGCAGCGCGCCGCCGTTCGTTCTCCCCATGCATCATTGAAGAGATCGGCAGCTTCAGCTACGGAGCTGAGCTGGGCGCCGTCCGACCGTCAGGCACACGTGGCGCGGTCCGAGACATGTGGCTCGCGTGGTGCGGTCAGAGACATCAGGCTTCCGTGGTGCTGTCAGAGACGTGTGGCTCGCGTGGTGTGGTCAGAGACATCAGGCTTGCGTGGTGTGGTCAGAGACATCAGGCTCGCGAGGTGCGGTCAGAGACATGTGGCTCGTGTGGTGCGGTCAGAGACATCAGGCTTGCGTGGTGTGGTCAGAGACGTGTGGCTCGCGTGGTGCGGTCAGAGACATGTAGCTCGCGTGGTACGGCCAGAGACATCAGGCACACGTGGTGCGGTCAGAGACATCAGGCTTGCGTGGTACGGTCAGAGACGTGTGGCTCGCGTGGTGCGGTCAGAGACATCAGGCTTGCGTGGTGCGGTCGGAGACATCAGGTACACGTGCTGCGGTCAGAGACATCAGGCTTGCGTGGTGCGGCCAGAGACATCAGGTACACGTGCTGCGGTCAGAGACATCAGGCTTGCGTGGTGCGGCCAGAGACATCAGGTACACGTGCTGCGGTCAGAGACATCAGGCTTGCGTGGTGCGGTCAGAGACATCAGGCTCGCGTGTTGTGGTCAGAGACATGTGGTTCGCGTGTTGTGATCAGAGACATAAGGCTTGTGTGGTGCGATTAACATCCATGTGGATCAAGACCACCATGCGACGTGTGAAGTAAACGGGGAATACGTATTATGGCATCGTCGCTGAAAGTGTCACTGAGCGTTCATAGTCACGTTACAGAATCCGCAAAACCGGTTTTGCCTTTGCCTTTGGCGAAAATTAACGGAATATGATAATTAGATTGAGAAGGGTAACAATCCAATTGCACGTTTCCACAGGATTCATATTGGTTGTACGAATGTAGTGAAAATGTTGGCCCGGTTGTGGCATTTGTGCAAGTGAGGTTACCCCGGTCCAAAGGACGAAAAAAGCTTGAGTTATCGTCAGGTTAGGTCAATAAGCTAGGTCACAGGTCAATGACTAACTCGTCATAGCCTTAAGTCTTCCCAGCCCCCCCCCCCCCCCGCCCTGACACCGTTGTGTTACACCGTGCACGCCGCGTGCGTGTGCCGTCGGCGCGCCAGCGCGGCTGGACGACACGCATCTCTGGGCGCCGTGCCCGACGCCTGCCACCAGAGGACGCCCTCTCGTTCCGCTGCAATCACCGGAGCAAGAAGCGCTGCGAGCCCGGGATCAGTATTTTTGTATCCGCGAGAAATAGTCTTTTAAAGCCCGCGTCAGCTGAAACGTGCCTTGCTACGCGGCACACGTACGGCAATTTACACGCTACATTGGGCCCTGATGCCGGGACCGTAAGTGAGAACTGCCGACAGACTTGGCCAGAATATCCGCTGGGCGAGGGGAGCACGCGCTGTTTGAACTTGCTGCTCGTCATTTCAAGTTTAGAAGCAAACCAAGCGCCGCGTTTCGAAATATGGACATTGTGAGCGTTGAAGGTGTTTGCGTTTCTGTATACGTTTCCTGACAACAGCCGAGCTTGGGAGATCCCATTTAATGTATACAAGCATAGCGTAAGTTTTTCAGGGCATTAGCGAGGAGCATTATTCACATAGATAAGGCAGTAGTATTAGCCTTTTTCCTCGGAGAAAAACCAGGAGAATGGAGATTTAGTTGGGTTGATATTTCGGCAACATGCCTTTATCGAAACAATAGAAGTGAATACAGAATTAACTTCTGCTATTGTTTCGATAAAGACATGTTGCCGAAATATCAACCCAACTCTATCTCCATTCTCCTGGTTTTTTCTCCGAGGAATAAGCCTAATACCAATGTCTTATCCAAGCATCAAGCATGAGTGCTCCTACCGAAATCGTGTCGGTGCAACGCTGGTCGCTCTGCTTTGCTTTGAGAGTCTTTTTTCCAGTGCTAAACTCGCAGCTTGTGATTTGCAGCTTTACGGAACGATTTCGCCCCGGTATTGGTATTGTAATAAAACAATTATTCTGTCCCACCGTCGTCTCGTGTACTGGTCTGCAGGCAACGGCTTTCGGTCCATTACCCACCGCGGCCGAATGTTCTCCTTTCAATGGCTGGGACTCGAACCGAGTGCCCTGAATACGAGTCGAGCGCTATATCCTAGGGCTGACCGGAGAGGGCAACGCCATGCCGTTTTGACTTCTTTAAGTTCGTCTCCAAAACGTTCGGAGCTTTGTTCGTAAATTAGGCGTTATTTCGGGCTAATGTCTATACTTGGTGTACTGTTTGGGCTGTTGGCTGATATCATGTGTGCTATCTCCGTGTTCATTCTAACTTTCCGGTGTTGCTCTCTGTCGATGATGGCCATTGCATCATGTAGCATGTTCTTTGAGCATGTCCAGGGGTACAGCCATAGCCTTGGTTAGGGTGGCACAAGGTTCACAAATGCCCCATAATTGCTGAAGTCCCTCCTCAAAAAAATTACCTGATAGGGCCCATTTGTATGCGAGAGGGCATGACCTTCTCCGTTTTGCCCTTAAGTTTACCCTTTTTAACCGGAGTAGGAGCCAGATGGCACCGAAAGATGCAGCAGGTACTTTTGGTATTTTGAAGTAAATAAACTTAAGGAAGCGAATATTAAATGACTGCGTTGAAAAATCCGACCGTGCTACTTATTTCACAATGGTTCAGTGAACCCCTTCTAACCGATAGAACTCAGAGGCTTTGCCGGATCTTTTATCGGTTTCAGAGATCTTGAGGACCCCGTAAACGTAAATTGCAAACTGCAATGGGGTCATGAATAACCCATCTTTGGCTGAGAATGTTCAGCCTTCAGTCAGAACCGGTTAGTGACGCAAATAATGTACCAAAGCATCCGCAATTAGCCAATGAGACCAGCAGGTGCGCTCGCAACTCCGCGACACAAAACCCCGCCGGCCGGCGTCGCAGCTTCCACGGACCGCGCGGGGTTGGCCCGCCGCTTAGCACGGGACGACCAACTGATCGATCATGTGATGGCGTATTTGAAATAAGTACGCTTAATCATTTTTGTGCATCAAATCTTACGGTTATCAGGCAGTCTGGGCGTATGTTTCACCTGTGTCATTTTTGAGTTGGTAATAGGAACGCACTAGCATTTACAGTACTGCGAACAGGTGCTGGAGTGTGGTGGAGATGGAAGAGTGAATGTAGAAGCTCTATTTTCGTGTTGTTCTAACTGGTAAGCTGTTCAGAGGACGGTCTCAAAATCATGAAGGTGAAATATAGACCCCAGTCCAGTCTTTGAAGACGACGAATTGACGATTTGAAGACTTTCGGAAGCGTTATTCACGGCGGTCGTTCTCGCGCGCCCAGTGTCGGCTGCCTGATGTTACCTACAGCGGCAACGCCGTTCAGCTCTGCGGAAACTGCTGTCCCGGCCATTGCTGTTCTTGCTCCTAGGATTGCGAGCGTACAGGTTCAAATATCGTGTATGTACTCTGTTTTATGAACGGATTCTGCAAAAGGATGGACGTTCTCAGTGAAACATGGGTGGGCTTTTCCATTTCTGTCCTGCTTTCGGTCCGCTCTATTGAACACAAGTGAGAGCCCTTACCTTTTTCGGGCAAGGGGCCCGTGGGCGGATCACTAGAGGCATATTACCGTTCCTGGCCAAGGGCCAGGTCCCTTTGCGTCCCAGCAGGGTGCCCACCGGCTGAATTCTGGCGACACGGAGGTGAGGGTCCCTAGTCGATCCGGAGGCCCTAAGAGGGGGACATACATCGATCTCCTCCCTGACGCAGAAAGCTCTCTGTGCTGGGCAGTTGGCCCCGGATCGACGCAGGAACCCTCACTGAAGCAACAAGATCCCTTGTCGCCGCAGTTGGTCCGGTAGTTGGCAGGGAGACTCCAGCTCGGCTTAACGGGCCCTTGGCTGAAATGGGGTGGAAGCCCCCCTCCCTTCCGTACTGGAGACCCTGACTGATACAGAGCCCTTCCATTTCGTGTCACGTCGCAATCTTCCCCTGGCAGTGTGAAAGGGCGCCTTTGTTGGTCTGGCGTTCGCTGCCTGTCTGACCACTGTCTCCTGCCTGACTGACCAGCGCTGCTGTCCGATGGTTCAGTGACCCTGTCAATGTCGCTCTACCATTCGCCTTGAGCGTGCTCCATCTCCTGTGCACTCCTCACCTCCCGGCGGTGACCAAGTCACTCCAAAGCGAGCCTGCTCCCACCCTGACAAATGCTACCAGCCCAGATTAAAGGCAGGTATTTGATCCCAAAGCCAAACGAAGACATTGGTTCAACAGCACAGAGTGAAATATAGTGCTCATCCAATGCGCACGACATCCACCTTCAATGACAAAGGCGCAGGCGGCGTGAGATGTTGCCGCACAAATCGGCCGGGCTCTTAAACGTAATCGCAGATACTTCGGATGATTAATTGCACACTAACAAACCTGACGAAAAGGTGAGCATTCGTCTCTTCTGACCCCAGGTCAGAGGTCTCTGTTCGCTGTCGCTGGCCTAATGCCAAAGGTCGGCCAAAAGCGGCGCCGGAAGACCCGAGGCGACTCGGCGCCGATGCACTCAGTCCAGCGTAATTCCATCACGTCAAGTTGGCTGGAGAAGTTGACTGGGCCCGTGATCAGCATGCGTGAGTCGACACGCTGCAGCTATATCATCACCGCACTGAAGATCGTCGCTGCGGTGCTGCTCCGATCGAGCATGTCTATGTAGTTCTCTGAGAAGTCATGGCTGTGTTTGCCTTTTGGTCGACAAAGGGGGGAAGGTGTGGTGTCCTGGCGTCATGCTCATCGCTCCTGTTTTGTCAGACTTGTGTCATCTGTCTTAAAACAGGAAGGCTGCGAAACGTAGGACGGGGTGTACGTACCAGGGGAATAGTGGGACGGGGTGTACGTACCAGGGGAATCGTGGCAATGGTCAGCGTGCACGCTACGTAGCTGCCCAGTCCCGTAAAATAGGAGCGATGCGTCGCGTAGCTGATTTTCATGCTGGTACGCTGCATCACCCCCGTTTGTTAAGCTTTTTAAGGCTATTAAGCCAACTGAAGTGAATGGGCTTCATGAACCGCATGAGCTGATTTCCAAGTCACTTCTGTTATGTCTCTTGTGCCTTGCACTCCTTGTTCTCTAGCATATAAACCTGTCGGATTGGAGAAGTCACGGCCTTAAACACGATGACGGTGCTAGCAGAGCATGGGCGTTAGAGGACATACTATATGATTATGACAACTATCACTATAATATAGCACAAAAGTAATAAACGCGGTAATAGAACATCACAAGATTATCATGATATAGTATGATAATAACAAGCATGGTAGCAACGTAGTGCAAGTCAGGTTTAAGAGAGCACAACCCTGCAGCTTTCACCAGTTTTGGACTGCAGTGCTGAGTGACCCATTACGCGGTGTTGCAGCTGCCCGGTAGCGTGCAGCTCGCCCTCCCCGTCCTGACGGCCACCGTTGCTTACCGTCCGGCCGGCCGTCCAGCTCTCTCGCTCTCAGTCGGCTGCGGGCCGGCCGCCGCCCTTGTTTTCCTCCTGCGCCGCCGCCCGTAAAATGGGTGAAATATCAAGTGAAATAAAATGAAGAAATCTGTCCGTGGACAGACAAGGGTGCTGTCAGCGGCGAAAACGGAGGCAAAATGAGCGGTCACGAGACGGGCTTGGCTGAACGAATTCGCAACGGCTCGTTATGGCTCGGCTGGTGAGGGGGGGGGGGGGGGGCTGGAACCGGGACTGTGTCAGCAGTGCGGGCTCTCAGAAGTCCAGTCACAGGCTATCCTATCGACAGTCCCGCGACGGTATGGGCCAGCCCCGGCTAATAAATTTTACAGGGGATGCACGTCGGACTGTAGTGGGGCGGGGAAGAGATCAGTCATGTTACGCTGGACATCATAACGACATGCCATTCGGTCCCAATCTCAGAAAATAACGTCAATCTACATCAATGGCACTTTCCATAATCAGATGAAATACATTACCATGCAAGGCAAGGTACAATACGCATCAGGGAATCGGTCACGGGGTTATCTGACTCATCACGTACGTTACCACTATCCTGCTCGCATGCCCTTCCACTTCATGAAGGACACCATGGCGACGCTAAAATTGTTTTCACCGGTCACGAACACGCGCGGTGCGCTTCTGTGATCGCGTTCAGTCTTTCGAGCAGGCGTTTTGTGTCAGGATTGCTATTTCTTCTTCCCCACCAATGCCCCTTGATTCACAGCATAGCACCACCTCTTACAGATTGCGACTTTAGGCTAATAATCCGTTACAAGCCGTAGTAGTCTACGTTCTACTTGCATGCTAAATACCCTGCTCAATTCAGAACGTCCATCGTTTTTCGGACACAATTTATCGTCTAAATTTCAATAAAATCATGCGCAAGGCACGGAGTGAGGTTTTTAACAGCGATGTGCATCACATGGTTGATTGCGAATCACATGTCATCACGTTGTTGGGTGTGAACCGTATGTTATCATCATTGGATGTAAATCGTGTGTTATCATCACATTTTTTAGCTCCCCGAATGGACTTCAACGAGTCGATAAGACGCTACAGAATGGAGGAGCTGCTCGTATTCTGTTCTGTGGCAGCGGCGCCTGTTCTTGCGTGAATGCCTCAGAGTAGAGAGATCACATTCACACTGTTCTGCAGTGAGCAAGAAGCGCTTTTGAACTAGGGTAGGAGTGGAATATTCCATCGCAGACTATACCGAAATGAAAAATTTAATTCACAAACGTTGGAACTTATGAGTCAGTGAGAGATGCTCCAGTAAACAAAGACATACATTTCGAGCCGGCATGAACGCAGCATCATAAACATGACAAACGCGTTTCTGGTTTTTAAGCATCTCAGGTTATTACAGTGAAACAAGATACATTAAAGAATAGTAATTTTGTAATAGTGTGATGAGCATCAAAACCATGTCACACGAATGTTTCGTTGCTGCACTTTTCACTTGCCTTCCACAGGATTTTTAACACAAAACAAAGCAGAAGGAATTCAACAACACAAACAATAAAAATTTCAACAAGCTTAAAGCATTCAAACAAAAAGCTTTAGACCCTTGCACATCAACACACCACCAAATCAAACACAATAGACTTGTCTTAGGATTCTGTTAAGATGGGGTCAGGAAATGCAACTATTATGCCACTGTTTCTTGCAAAATACCAATGATTATTTCCATGAATGCAGCCTGACTAAGCCTAACCTAAAAAAGTTTTACCTCATCTAACCCTGCCTAAGCCATTGATGTCACAGCAGTATTTGTGAGTCACTGATTCTTGCAAAATTTCTACTGCTACTTGTCATGCAATTAACCAGATTAACATAACTTAGAATAGCCCATATGTTCAGAACAGCATTTTAGCTCACCTGACCTATCTCTTGACTGCAGCAATTGTGATAGAATTAAAATGCTTATTTTTGGCTGGTTTCAACTTGCATTTTGGTTCAATCTATTTGTGTCAGTTTGTTAATACCAGATAAAGTTGACAGCACACAAGTCAAAACCCTCAAGTCACTTTGAACAACTTATTCTGATTGTCATGTGTAGCCCCTGTCAAGGGTAATCATGGGTATGCTTCACAAATTATTCTCTTTTCTCCAAATGTAACAAAACTTATAGATGGCCACGGAACCAGGTTTGCTGCTTGCCTTTTCAGCTGCAGCAAAGGCATCCATTTAGGTTTCATCATTCATATTTAATGACATAAAGTTGGCTCAAGTTGGCTTCACATTTTAAATGGAAAGGTCTGACTATTTGCTAAAAACTGATATCTACCTCATATTGTAACTGCTATGCAGCTCAGATTGTTCCTGTGTTAAAAATATGGTGCATATCTACAGTACAGTTATTTCCTAGTTAATGAACCATGGCAACTATGGACAAGATCTCGTGAAAATAGACATTAGGGGCCACTTAAACAAATTTTAGGCAAATTATCAAGAGCATGGACAAAACTAGCTTAAATACATGTCTTGTGGCATCATAATTTGTCTTACAGACAAGATATGATGGACTAAAACAGAAAATGGTTAAATCTGTTTGCAAATCATGTGTCAAAAGCAGGCAAGGTCAGCAATTAGCTGCTCCACAGGGAAGATTTCTGGCTTTTTAAGAACAGGTTTCTTTCTGCTCCCCCCCCCCCCCCAAACAAAAAGTCAGTATCTTTCGCATGGTATGCTAACGGAGAGGGTCATCCAACCCGCCAACAAAATGTAGATAAATGCGAAATAAGTAAGAGGAGGCCTGGATGACAAAACAGTTTCTAACGGCAGAATTTTGGTACCAAACACTTTTATATTAGCCGCGCCAGCTCTGTCCCAAGGCTATGTACGACAGGATAATGAGACGTGGTGAGGCAGTGGAACTGGAATGGCTTAGATTTAGCATCACTGAGCCCCGCCATGAACCAAAAGAAGCGGCTAACTGGGTACTCATCGGGACAAAAATGGCGGTAAAAATCAGCTCCGTGGTTCAAATTGTCTTTTTCATTCCCTATTAATTGTTCGCTCTCAGGTACATACCAAACATGTTTGGGCGACTGGCGAATGAATCCGATTTAGGTATGAAATATGTGGAACGTAGCGTTTGGGGTATTTTGCAGCGAAATTATTTAACATGTCAATCCTTAGATGATATCTTTAAAGGCAATCGGAAAGGAAAAAATGAAATTGTATAACATTCGTATGGTGCCAAGAAAGACACTTATAGTTGTTTGGTCAAATTTCCTTCTCAACTCATTTGAATAACAAGCTGTGAAAAAGAGTCATCTATTGTATTTCATCTAGAAGGCATTTCTTCAATTTGTCATCTCTTCATTTCGGGAATGGTGCAACCTTGGAAAATGATTTATGGGTTTGATATGTGTGGTTGGACATTATCAGATAGGAGTGAAAAGTACGCATAAAATATGGGGAGTGTGTGAAAAATTCCTGCTGACAGGGTGCTGTTTTCCACCCAAGTCGGCAATCCTAGGATGCAGCATTCCTGAGCCACAGGAAAGGCTTTCTGCCTAGCTCATGGTGCCCAGCATCTGTCTCTGATAGCCGTCATTACATACTGTTTTGCATCGCGGCGCAGCCGATCTTGGGCTCCCATTACCAGAAGTCACAGGAATGCATGTTCGTTTGGAGGCAAATACGGATGCTTCACACCGCGGTCAAAATCCCATTTATGCATCTTTCCATTCAGCCTGAGGAATTCATCCAGTTAGAAGAGGTTTAGACTGCAGTCTTCCATTTGCTTCACTCAGAACTTTCGTTTCCTTTCTCATATTTCCTTTAGGACATGGCATGTCTAACAGAACCACTGCCTGCTCAAGCTCTTCTGCACCCAAGAGCATGGATCATTGTCCTGGCGTTCGTGAGCTGTGCATCCATCTGAGGACCAAGGCTGTTACTTGAGGGAGCCGAGTTAGACTGCTGAATTTCTGTGCTGTGAGCAGCAAATTGAGTTCAGATGCTTCATCAGGTATCTAACCGAAGGCGCCAAGCGGCCGCGTCCCGCTGTTTTCATCCTTTCACTGGGCTCCTCATGGAGTGAGCTGGAGCCAATAAGAACCATGCTGTTGCAAGTATTCATAAAATTTTCTGAACCGATGCGCCACCTCGTAGGAATCCTGTAGAATTTCTGATCCAGGATAGTGGTGCCAGCTTTGCGGGGAGACAGTCCCTGCATCTCGATGACACTGCAATTCACAAAGACACTCCATCGGTTGGGACGACTTTGATGTCCGGCAAACGCCACGGCACATGAGGTCCACAAGTACGTCGTGCTTGGCGTTTTAGGCAGAGATCTCCGGGCGACGTCGGTCACTCTGGCGCAAATGGTTGTGACCATCAGCTCAAGCCGAAGAGGAGACAAGAGCTTTGCGGAGTGCGACGCAAGGCTCGGCCATCATCAGCCTATTGTGCGCTGCAGACCCGTCAGTCCAGCTATTGGTATATTCTTATGTAAATAGGCGCACCGTGGGCATCCTTGCTGGCGCCGCAGTGTGTAAATCTCGAACAGACACGTTCTTCTCGCCGTATATTCGCGGTATGTGCTGCACAGCCGCCAGGTGTTTCAGTTGATGCGGTCATGTATTCCATATCCCGCTGAGGTTAGGCGAGAGCTCCATGTCTCATCGCGCTCCTTCTAGGCAGGGGCTCTGCAGGAACAATGTCGATTAGGTGGCGTAAAGGGATGGAGGTCAAACCGTTCGAAAACCCAGGCTGATATTGTCATGACGGCGCGCTTCGTTTCTGATACATCAGCTGTCAGTTTTATGGGTGGGTCATATTGGACTCGAGGAAGTAGGCTACGGGTGATCAGAAAACGCCGAGAACGCTTTGATCATCATAATGATTACCAACGCCGAAGGCCCCCTTGGATTAAGCAGTTTTCCCCGGATATGCTTATGGCCTGCTTTCTATTTCACGTGGTCAGATTCATCCCGGCAGCTCTGAAAATCGCCGCTGCGCACCTGTGCAGTACTTTTACATGCTTTAGGCCGTTTTCTTCGCACAAGAGCAGATGCCTCCACACGGTCGGTTGGAGTCAGAACGGTAATGCGGTCACTCCGAAGATCACTCATGCCAT